CGTCGTCGTCGCCGTCCTTGTTCTTCCACATCTCCTCTTGGATGCGGAGTAAGCAAGACTCGGACCACTATGCTTTAGCGGATTTTTAAACCACGTGAGGCCGATCGCCCTGTAAAAGAGACAGAATGAGAGAGAGAGAGAAAGAATGTGAGAGAGAGAGAGAGAGAGAAAGAAAGAGACTAAATCGAGAGGAGTTATTCTGCGCGCGCGAGAGGGATGATGCCAGGGCTAATGGCGCGTTACGAGCAATCGCGGAAAGATGAACTGGCTCAATTCGGTCTCGATAAACTTCCCATAGGGCGATAAGGGATCTCAAATTGAGATCGATTTAGATATTGATGATATTCGAGTAGTAGTATTCAATTTGTATAATGAGTAATTATCCGATTTAATTAGATCAAAATTTATTTGAAATATTGAGCGAGATTTCATGTAACTGATTTAGATGAATACTTTATTTAATCTTACATTATTAAATAATGACAAATTTATTTTATATTTCTACAACTATATTTTACAACTATATTTTACTTAATTGAGGTACTAATTGAAGTAGAGGTGATTTTAGAGATTATTTCAAATTTGAATCACTTTTACATGACATTTAGATACCCGCAGTTTTTACACTATTAAAGGAAGAACGTATTTTTAACTCATTTAATTAAAACGCGGAGAGCATATGTTTGAAATATATTCGTGTTATATTAAAAATTTAAGTCAATCCGGTTATACAAATGCATATGCAAGTTCGTTAAATGACCGCTGTGAACAGGTTCGGATCGCAAAAATGGCGTCAGTTTGAAATTTTCATTAGCGACTTCGTTATGGCGAGTGACATCGCATCGACGGGATTGATAAGACAATAGCCGGTGGAGGAGGGGGAGGAAACATCCCTGTCCCGAGATTTATGTACTCCTCATCGGGGTGAGTTGTTCCCCTAAAATCCCGTGAAATCCAGTCCTTACGTAATTTCAGCCCAATAATATACATAATACGTAAATAACATCGGTAATAAATCTCTTTAATGTTCTTGCTTAATAACGCGATTTAATCGTAAAAGGTGGACGATTTTGTTCGGATTGACATGTTCTTGCGCCGACGTCGGTGCGCATTTCGCGTCGTAGTGGCCACCGATAAGGTCAAAGGTCGCGCGTGCTCGCCAAGGATCGATTGGATTATCCTGTTTGCTGAGGCTAGCTTAAATCGAGACAACCGAGAGCTGGCCCGAATTTTCAATTAAGACGAACACCGAAAGCCGACGAAGTTATGCGTGATCTCGTTTCGTCGAAACTCGTGGGTGGAAATCGATCCTCTCGCAGCGGGGATTGCATCGTACTGGCGCAGTTATGCAACATCATTTTCAGCGCGAAAATCCGCGCGCGTTATCCCAGAACGTCGGAGCGTTAAAGGGCCGTTTGAATCCCGGATCCGGATCCGCGGTCGATTACGTAAAAATAATCGTCATGCTTGGACGCGATCCTCGCCGGGCGGCTATAATGCGACCTGATGCCGTTTGAATAATCGCGAATGTCATTAAAATGCATGTTCTTCGAAAAGTGAACGTTCTGAAAATGTGCCGGGGCATATCTCGCCGCGCGCGTCACACACACACACACACACACACACACACACACACACACGCACGCACGCACACGCACACATGTTCACATACACAGGCAGAACATGGGGAGCTATACAATAGCGGGGAAATGCATTCGGTCTTTCCCGATGAAACAATAGTTATTTTGTGGTAAACGTGTGCGACGGAGAGATACGCTTTCGGACGAGTGCCGGCGCCGTCGCGCACATACGTACGTATGTATAACGGTAACGTAACATTTTCGAGATCTCGTCGGTTAGGTAACTACAATAATAACATCGTCGCTTTGACGAGCGCGGGAAATGGTAATTTGCATACGTATTCTGTTGAGAACGCGCACACGTGAGTCAGTGGAACGGAGGATGGCGCGAATGGAGTTTCCGTTCTCTGCAGGCTTCGCCCGCTTACGTCGCTCTCGACGATGAAGGCCACCATCCGGTGATGACGGGAAAATCGGGAAATCGAATCGAAAATAAATGTTAAACGCCCGAATTCCGCTGGAATTTCGTTTTTCTTTTTTTTTTTTTGCCGCTTTATTTTCTTGCGTAGATGGTACTACAACAGGAATCAGAGGGAGGAACCGATCGAAGAGTCGTCGGGTCATTACGTGGTGCGTGACGGCTCCTTGATCATTCAGAACGTCGAGGAGAACGACGCCGGCTCCTACATCTGCGCCGCCAGCAATTCCGAAGGCAGGGAAACTTTGGAGATCAGATTAACGGTGTCTGCACCGCTGAGCGTTCACGTGCAGCCGGCGATACAAACCGTCGATCTGGGGAAATCCGCCTATCTGGTAATCAATCATCACCGACACCGATTTATCCGAAGATAAATAAAGAGTCACCTGTATTGAATACGTAATCGCGCAGGAACGAGTCGAACGAAATAAAGGTGGAATGATATTTCGAGAGATTTAATCAACATTGTGATGAGTAGAGAGATAAATGATTTCCACATAATTTTGTGAATTCTATTATAAACGTGCTTCTTTAGACGAGTTCCATAGTTTACCAGTTAGCTGAGGAGATAATAGATTTCAAAATAGAATTTCATTTACATCGTGCATTTTACAGAAGAAGGGTAATTTAATTAAAATATTTATAAATATTTGTAAATAATCAGTTTCTAAAGACAATTCCGAAAATAATTTTCGCACAATTTAAATAATTACATACAACGTTAAAATTGATTGAACAGAAACTTAACATTCTTGCGCGGTATTATTTTGACCTAAACAAGATTATTTTTATGTTTATAATCACATTTTTAGATACTTGAGAAAAACAAATCTTCCTGTAAATATGTGTTCATTTCGATTCTACTGATTAACTCTAACTGATCGCAGTTATCTTCTGATGTCTCTACTTCCGTTTTAACTTTGAAAATGCAAAAACGAGCGACAGATCACTTACAATATCGAACACTTCGATTACTGTTATGAATATTTACCGCGGCGTTTTCAGTCGCCTGTAAACGCCGTAAAGCGCTGTCGATGACGCGGGAAATGAATCTGTACGTGCCGGAAATTAATGCCGGTCGGTAGTAGGTACGGTGTGTGATTCGAATACATTTTCAGGAATATAGAGATCTGATTTTTCTCAAGAAGAAGCCCCCGATGGCTCGATGGCGGACTCGACAACGAGAGAGAGAGAGAGAGAGAGAGAGAGAGAGAGAGAGAGGACGGGGTATTCTCTCTCGTTTCCGCGATCGCGCGCCGGCTGAGTCTCTCCTCCTTCTTGATTCTCATCAGTTTCTTCCATCTAAACTCCTTTGCAGACGTGCACCGCAAGTGGATTTCCGCAAGCGGCACTCTATTGGCTGAAAGACGGTCAGCCATTGAGAACGGGCGCCCGGGTAAGGACGGTCTCCAGCGAGCGCATTTCCGTGACGTCAGTCGCGAGGGAGGATCGCGGCATGTACCAGTGCTTCGTGCGGAACGAGTACGAAATGGCTCAAGGAATTGCGGAATTGCGCTTAGGAGGTAAGGCATACTGCTTCACGTTCCGGATGTACAATAGTGTATGACGCGATACCTTAACGTTTTGGAAGGGCCGACGAGCCCATAGTTGTCATGCCATGTCGGGTGGAAACTCGAAAATCTTACTCGATTCTTGTAAGAGGAAGCGGAAGACGATTTCTCGTTGTCAAATTAAATCAATTTAATCGATATATTTAGCCACATTTTCGAAAGACTAAATTATACTCCCGAAAATGATGGGACGTAAATTAATTTATAAAATAATCAGAATTATTGAGATATTTTTCATATTTAATCACTCATCGTAATTGCCGTTTAATTATAGGAAATATTTATATTTTATGTACACTATAAATTAATTTTTTTTCAATTAGAATAAAAAAAGTAGCTTGTTTGCCGAATGACTGGATTCGTTGTTGTTTAATATCGCGGAGGTCTTTTCCTGTACGATACATTTCACAGATTCGCGTGCCATTTCATCGTAACGCATTCTCCATCAGCAGGCAGCAGCAGCAGCACGACTTCTCTGCAGACTACGTGCCATTTTTGCGAGGAAGTGCCCTCATCGCTCTTCCGATTGTGCTTTACGGAGTGTGCTCCCATCTGCGGAACGATAATCGCGGTCTCGGTTTCGATTAACCCCGGCTGGGTTTCGTTTGCCGCAGCAGGAATATGCCAAATCGCATTAGCCAAACTTCGATCTATTGTTTTTCATTATCCGATCTCGGCGCATTGATTTTCACCTTATATTTCATAATTGTTCAAATCGCAAATTTACATTTCATAGAATACTTGGCAGGAAATTACATCGGTTGCGTATTATTGCATATTCGCGCATTCGGTAATGAAATCGAGAATGTTGTTTGGCGTTGAATGGCGACCGAGGTGTGTTTAACAATTGTCACGATCGCCCGCGCATTTATTACGGGGGAGGAGGAAAAAAAGAGAGGTCGGACGGACTGTGTATGGCGAACTTGATCAGAAACTTGGTTTGCCCGCGGTTTGAAAATGTTGGTTAACGGCTGCGGAACTCGGTATGTGTGCGGAGGAGAGGGCTGCCTGTTTGCGCAGCGTTTCCCTCGTAACGTATTTTCCATCGGTCCGGTCGTTTCGCCGCGGGATACGTGCCATTTTTGTACGAAAATGGCCTCGTTTGCTCTCTCTCCCCGTTTCGCAAACCCCCGATATGAGACCTCCACCGTTGCGCATCAATGTCCGATGGACAACCGCACGACTCGCGAATTTGCCCCGGAATATAATAAAAGCGATTTACGATAGGTTTCACCGATAACATCGCAGCAAAGTATTGGACGTGGGGCCACCACGGGTAACATATGACACGCGAAACACGTTCAGTAACTTAGAGCGCGCTGTTTCACGTGAAAAAAGGCCAGGTCAGCTCCCGTGGAAATTTCACGAGGAAAAAAAAAAAAAAAAGAGCGAGGCGCAATTTTAGCGTTCGACGTCCTATATTTAACGTTCATTAATATTTTATAATAGATTATAATGTTGATTGTGCCGTTTGAAACGAAACTGCATTACGCGAAGCCCATTATTTACAGATTGCCATTGTTAATTAACGCGTTCCGCATATTCCCGTATTGTACGTATCGCGGGACGGAATTATTTTCAATTACATCCCGATGTATAACTCCGAAGCGCGAGTCCTCTCTCGCAGCTTCGAGAGTTTTTATTTTATACCACTTCCACCTCCTCGAGGATATTGCCGTCGGCAAGCAGAGAGAGCGTGCTGAGTTTTCGTGCCGTTCTTACGAGCGATTTGTACATTTCTAGAAGTTCGTACGGGCTTTCGCGGCCATTAACCTTTATACGGCCGGCATTTGGTAACTTTTATGACCTTTGAAAGTTTAAATTTTCTTTCAAAATCGCTTATAGTCCGCGCTCGGTCGCCATTCTCGTCGGAAACAGGAGTACCGATCCGGATGCCGTGTACAGTTTCTTTCTTCCTCCGCACCGTGATCCGAGTTCGGATATCACGCGCGAGCTAAATTACTACTTTCCTCCTATCCCTCTTATCCCAGTTTTCTTTCAGCTCTCGAGTAATTTCACCACTAAATTTCTTTTCAGACGAAAGTGCGCGCGACAAAGTGTTTTTTTATTAAATATAAGTTTCCAGACACATTAACCCGGAACGGAATCATCCAAATAATTGAATATACTATAGTTCTAGATATATCGAAAATTTATTAATATAAAAAAGTCAAGAGTGCTTCGTTGGTCGATCCTTGATGACTAATATTATTAGACTTGATATGACATAAAAAGGCAAAACTCGAGAATAATATTTATAACTTATAACAATATTTTAAAGAAAGGGCACTTTATTATTATATATATATATATATATATATATATATATATGCAGACAGAGCAAAGCAAATTACATACGTCTGGCGTTTAATGATAATAATTAGCTTATAAGGGGCTTATTAGCTTATTAGCTATTAATCTATTACCAAAATTACGGAAACGCGACACTTGCAGGACTATCCATTTTTTAACGCAAACAGAAAAGTATTATCAACAAACGTAATTACGTCGCGTTGCACACCGACGTCTGCATTACGTCAACAACGTCGCGCAATTGCTGTTCGCATTCAGTAATAAAGCCGTTGTTCCGGCGGCGGATGGAAAATTAGTAATTTACGTCGTCCAAGTTTCGGGGGGGGGGAGGAGGGGGAGGGGCGCCGGGTGCCTATTACCTTGCCATTAGGATTCTTCCCGTCTCCATGATTTCTAAGCTGTACGGTATAGAGTGTACATTAGGTTGGGATCGCCCGCAGCACGATAGGATAGTTAGTACCTACTACCACCACCCCTCGGATTTGCATACGCTAACGAGATTCCTGCGGTTTTGCCGATGCTTTGCATGCTAGCCGCGCGCGATTTCGCGAAGCCGGCGCGACCGACTACGTCTATTTATTATGCGTCATAGATACGTCGGGGGATGAAAGCCGGTCCGTGGGAGCATCTCGGCGAATTTGCGAATTTTACCCGGCGGTTCCTACCCACTCCGACTCGGCGGAATTATGCGAACGTGATATCTTGTCTGTCTGTTACGATTTTAATGGCATTCTCCCGTTTCCGCTCGGGACGAGATTTACTTTGTTACCACGGGCGAACGCGGGCAACCTCGGAAGAATATATCGTTCATGCAAATCGCGCTTTATCGTGCCCGCGTTCCTTCCGAAACGCTCATCGGCATTTCGTATATAAATGGACTTCAATCTGGGATACAATTTCGCTGCGTTCCCGGCGATATTTTTGTACCGGCGGGCATACCGACCGGTTTTTGCACGGTTTCGGCGCGGTAATGTTTCGCTGAAATTTTGAGAAAACAACACCGCGGCGCAACGCCGACTAATATTAATTAGAGCGTAAACAAATCGCGTTAATCTTCATAATTACGTCTCGGGGAAAATATTATTTTTTAAAGCGTTTTTAACATTAAATTATTTCGGACGAGAGATTATACGCTGAGCCTCTCATCGGCCAGTGTGCGAGGCAGTGAGTGTATTATTTGAAAAAAAAATTTTATTTGATACACAACAAATTGTTAATATTACATTTAATCGTTTATCGAGACGATGCGAGCGCGGTTGATATTTTTTTCCCCTGGCATTGTAACTTCCACAGGACACCGCCGAGCAAGTAAATTTGTGCTTTAATGCTGTCGGGATTTTATTCGGTCTTTATTTACAGCGAGAAATTTTTGCCGCAATAACGTATATCATGATACTCGGCCGTCGCCGTTAAAGCGTGCCGCGGTCTGAAACATTAATTTACGGTCCCGGCAATGTAAGATTTCTTCTCGCGAGCGCGCCAAGAGTGCCGGAATAGCGAAATGGAATAATTAGTCCGCCTAATTGTTAATTTACTAATGGGGACTCCGCGTAGTCTTTTAATTATACACGGGCGAGTTACGAGCCCCCAATATTTGCTCCTGCGAGTTTTCAACTTTTAACTATCGAGTTAATCCGCGTTAAATAAATCGCGCGACTTTTTTCGCGCGCCTTTCGCGCGTTTTCCCGATGAAAAATTGTTATAAGGACGGGCAACGGGGGTAGGAACGTCACATTCGTCGGCGTCGTCCCGAAGAAGAGAATTACCGGAATATCGTCCTTATCATAAATATTCATCAATATCGATATCAATAGCGCCGACGGCGATGAAAGGATTCTCCTCGCGGATGAATACGAAAACTTTCGGCGAAGTTGACGTTATCTTACGGCCGATGTAGATCCGCGCCGCGAACTTTACGAATTTATCACCGCGTTATTTTAGGAAACGCACGTCTCGCGAAAGCTCCCTAAGCTTTTTCTATTTATTTCGCCGCATTATCTCGCCACGTCGTCGCTTCCACGATCTGTGATAATAACCATTGTCATATCACTTAGCGATGTCGCGTCCTCTCGTTTTTTCGACTTTATCGATGACGAAGTTATCATCCGTCACTGAGTTTTTTGT